GGAAACCCTATGCAGGGTTGATATGAATCAGAACTGACTCCACGGCACATAACCACCACTACCACTGGAGTCCTGGTGTGGCACTGTGGGCTAATGCGCTGGACTGCAAAGTCAGTTTAAACTGCAAGGTTGGCAGTTTAAGCTTACCAGTTGTCCCTAAGAAACCCTACTGACTCCGCGGCACTTAGCAACAACTGTTGAGCTGATGGTGTGCTGTCTGGTTCTTTCCCTTCCACCTTCACAGAGGGCCTCTTGGAGCAAGTGAAACCATATTTTCCCCATAATCGCCCAAGGGGGGCTGCAGTGGGGAGTCCTTTTCCCCTTCCCCCTCAGCTCCAGCAACTCCTCTCCTCTGCCTGACCTTCACAGAAACTTCTAGTTAGAGTGGCAGTCATAGACACCTGTGGATGTTCTGTCCCCATGAACCAGAGGTCTGGCTCCACATCTGGACAAAAGCTGAGCTTCTCCCACTGGATCCCTGTGGGGACAGGGCCCAGATTGTCCTGGGAACAGCCAGCTCTGACTGGAATGTGGGTCTAGCCGGGCACGTCAGAAATAGGCACATCTGGAAAAGCGTTTACTAGACACCAGTGCTGCCAGCAGGACCAACAGTGCCCGTGTCTGAGTGGTCCATGCCTCATCCAGATCTCAGGACATGGGGTGCTGAGGGGCAGGCTGCCCCTTATTTAGCCTGTGGTCCCTGAAAGCTGGGTTGGCCTGAATCACAGCACTGACCATGGGAGGACAAGTCAGAGGCAGAGGCAGACAAAGGCAGGACACAGTGGACAGAAAGCTGGGATATAGATAACACCCCAGTCTCAGAGCCCACGCTCCTTGGTCTCACTGGCCTGGAGGGATGGTCCAAGCCTCTTTGTGTGCCCACTCTTATCCCAGGGCTTTCTTTGCCCCTCATCTCTCCAGACCCCTACCCATATTATGCACTGAGCTATAGAAAACTCTCCTCCCTCCCACCCCCTACCTATCCCAGAGTCTTTTTTTTTTT